TTCAGGATTGTAGCCTGAACTACGAATAAAGAGAACGCGAGCAATTAAAGGGGATACGATCAATGTTATTTATATATATACAAACACACACACGCACAGAGAAAGAGCTCCACTTGCGGGGCTGAGCTCATTTTTATATAAATGTTCACTCATCGTGCTCGGGGAGAGGAGGCCGAAAAGTTTCCCTCCACTTTTAAGGTCAAGTTCATCTTCTGATCTTTCCCGCTCTGAATTCCAGCATGGCAAAAGACCATTTGGCCCCCTCTCCCTAAATCGTTTCTTAGGGATTTAAATACAGCCGACTAACAACGTTTCTGTAAAGTTTTTTGTTTGTCCACGGACTGAAAACTTTTTCAAGAGAGACAATGACATCCTCGAAACCCAGAATTTAAGGTCAGAACAATAATCCCAGTGACACGGGAGGGCAGAGGTGTTCACCGAAAAGGGCCTCGTGGTACGAGAAGGAAAGATGGGACCATTCTCAGCAGCACAGCCATCTTGACTACAGACCACAGTTCTGATAATAAGTTGCGGCTAACAAAGAGACCCAGCGGCTTAACAAAACACCATGCTTACTGGATGTACAAGAGCAACCAATCACAATCACAGAAACGGAAAACGACGACGGAGAGAGGAAAGGAAAAAACCCGATGAACTCAAGAACTTGTTATCCCAACAGATGCCTCTGCAGCCCACCTATGACAGCAACGTCAATATCCGTGTTCTTGTGGTTTCGTTTTGTTCTTTTCAAATTGGAAGTTTTTTTTTTAAAAAACGTATCATTAAAAATGTTCTTTTAAGAGGCCGGTCTCTACAGCTATCACTTCCTCCTGATAGGAAGACAGGGTTAATCTTTGACCTCACTGGGGGATCAGAGCTTCCTGCCTTCCCAATCCAGAACAGCCAGAGTAGGAAACGCTCCCCCCCCCCAAATTAGGAATAAACCTGATTTACTAGGTAAAGAGCAGGGCTATTTTTGGGCAAGAACGCACAGGAACAGAGTTCTGGCTGGCTCCCGAGTTGGCCACGCCCAGCAGGAGCTCATTAGCATAATAGGCCACACCCAACAGCAGAAATTCATTAGGATTGGCTACATTAGGGGTGTGTGGCCTAACATGCAAAGGAGTCCCTGCTACAAAAAAAGGCCCTGGGTTTTGACAACAAACAAGGTAAACAGAATAAGAAGCAAAAGGTGGGTGTGGCTGGATGGCCACACTTCTGGTAACATGGGGGTGTGGCCTATTATGCTAATGAGTTCCTGCTGGGCTTTTTCTACAAAAAGAGCCCTGGTAAAGAGTATAACCCCATCACCAAAAACTAGCAAACTACAAACAGAAATAAATGGCAAAGTAGAGACAGGGCATCCTTGTCTCATTTCTCCACCATGAGCCTGAGTGTTTAGTTGGTCCGCATTAATTTCTAAGGGAACAGGCATTTATGATAACTCAACATTCTTAATTCCTCTCAGAAGTAAAGCAGACAGCTCCTGTATCTGGGAGAATCAAAGGATCGTTCTTCTCTCGATGGGCTGAGCCTCAAGGGACCAGAAGCCTCTGTCTGAAGGCAGCACCTGCTGGGAACAAACAATCCATCTTGTGCTGCCTCAGGGCGGTGAGAAGAGATGCCCCGGTTGCCCCCCTACCCATCTCCTCAAAGCCCTGCCTCGGAACGCTATCCTGGCAGTTGCTGCTGCTGTGGGACTTTAGTTTCAAATGGCATCCACTCCCCCAGAGCTGTAAAAGCTGAAGCTATGATGCCCTAAAACCATATAGAAATAGTAGGCACTGACCGGGAAGCAGGGCTATTTTGGGGCAGGAACGCACAGGAACGAAGTTCCGGCTGGCTCCCAAGTTGGCCACGCCCAGCAGGAACTCATTAGCATAATAGGCCACACCCAAGAGCAGAAACTCATTAGGATTGGCTACAATTAGGGGTGTGTGGCCTAACATGCTAAAAGCCATGGGTTTTGACAACAAACAAGGTAAAGAGAATAAGAAGCAAAAGGTAGGTGTGGCTGGATGACCACACTTCTGGTAACATGGGGGTGTGGCCTAATATCTGAATGAGCTGTGCTGTCAGGGTGTGGCCTAATATGCTAATGAGTTCCTGCTGTTGGGTGTGGCCTATTATGCTAATGAGTTCCTGCTTGGCTTTTTCTACAAAAAAAGCCCTGCCGGGAAGGATGAACAAGGCACCTTCTTCCCTACTTTCCAGGCAAAATCGCCAACCCCTCCCCCTGGGGCGGACCAGAGTATGGTGAAATAGATTCCTGCGGGGGAGGGATGACGGTTGGCCTAGCACCAGTACCCAGCCTGAGCATCCCTTATGAATGGAGAGTGTGACACACAGACGCTCCAAATGGAAACGGTGGCCACTGTGAGAACCGTCTCGAGAGTAATTTCCTTCAGAGGAAGCCTAAATGTACAATGGAAGGGCCAGTAAAGGCTGGAACACTGAGTGCAAATGTAACATAGAATGGAATGGGGAGCAGTTCTTTAGCACAACCCCTTTGAGAACTCACACACTAAGGACGAGAGGACAGTTTATTTCTGCTGCTGCTCCAGGCCAATACGCCATTCAGGGCTGACAGCTCTCAGAGATGTGGTACTAAGTTGTTTTTGCAGGTTTGCCTTGCAGAAACACCAAAGTATTCCCTTCCTTCCTCTCTCTGCTTTCTATGGGATCAAGCTCTTCTCGGACCACCAGCCGAAAGCTTTCCAAGTATTCTTCAGCACCTTATTAGTGCAATTCCTCCGAAAAGAAAGGAGGTGGACAGAACTGGTCAAACTGTAGATGAGGCCCTCTGAAACAGGAAGCCCAGCTTGTTCCTTCAGGCTGCTGTTGGCTGACAGAATCGAGAGTTCCAGAGACTGAGGTCTCCGAAGTCAGAGGGGGCCTGCTAGGATTATGTTCATGTGATGAAATCCAATTTGCTGAAGGAACAAAGAGAAACGGAGAACTCCGGGTCAGTTGAGTGACAGTACCGTACACGTTCGGATGCCAGACATGAACCTGTCTGGTTATTTTATTTTTTAGGGCTGGAAAGAGGCCGAACCATGTACCTTGAACCTTCTCACTATCGCTGGACCTGAGGTTGTCGCTTCCATTCAGACCGTAGAACTATTCGGCCAGTCCGCTCTGACTTTGGAGACCCCTGTTATGTATGTGCTCTGTCCTGATGGAACCAAGGTTGCTCTTTGCTGAGGCCATTGGCTATCCGTGAGGCAACAGGGCTAGAGGATGTCCTTGCTTGTTTATAGGGGGCTTGTTTTCAGTGTGTACAAACACTTGACTGTTCTGTACTTACAGTGAGAAAGCCTCCAGCACCAGTCTAACCTGACTGTTCTTAGTACGCAGGGATCTGATGTAGACTTGGACCGTCCTATGTGCTGCCATGGAGGCAGGGGACTGGGGGTAAGTTGGGGTCAACCAGGGTCAGATTTGTTCCCCTGTGGGAGGAGAGGCAGGCAAACTGGTAGGCAGATTTCCTTTGCTGGTGTGATAGGAAACAGGGGACTGGGGGGAAGCTGGGGTCAACCAGGGTCAGATTTGTTTCCCAGTGGGAGGAGAGGCAGGCAAACTGGATGGCAGATTTCCTTTGCTGGTGTGATAGGAAAGTGGAACATGAGTTGCTAAAAGAAAGTTATTTCCCATGTTCTGTGCTTGGAGTAAACAAAAATGTTTGGGTTGCTTATATTGGATATATGGGGGCACTTGGTGCCTTCTTTTTGTTCTAGTCTCATGGTGTCTGTCCAAAGTTGGCTAGCCCATAAGAAATGGACCCTGTGATTTCCTTGGCCGGTAAATTACTTTACCAACCCCAAGAATTCAAGCCTAGCCTGACTAAGAGATCGGGGATAGCTTGTCTCAGTGTCACAATGAATCTTATGATCCTCAGAGTATCTTCTAAGATCTAGTGAAACAGAAATAGGATGGATTAATAGCAGCCCCTGTGGAGAGGTACACCAGACTGATAGGGCTATTGCTTTGATCCTAGTTTTCAAATGCCTACTGGGAGAATGGAAAAAAAGCTTGTTGCTTCTCTACACAGCCTAGTTTCTGCAAGGGAAGTGGATAACCTTCCTGGGAGCAGACTCAGTCCTAGGGATGTTCCCCAACATTTTTTCTGTGTCCCCTTTCTGATCCCTCACTAGGATAGGTGGAAGTGGAAGACAAAGGGCTCGGGGGGGGGGAAGCAGAAGTAGAATAAATATAAGAAGATCTTGAGTGCAGAGTTCTCAGGAGCTCTGCCTTCTGGCCACAAAGGCAGGACTGACCTGGGAAAGTCAGCAGCTCTTCCTCCTGCAGAGGTGATAGACTGATCTAGTTTTCCTACCAGGAGGAGGTTCTGTTCCAGATATAGAGTACGGCTTCCATATTCTTAGGAGAGAAAGGACTTCCTATTCTCATACGATTTGAACATCTCTTGCCATTTTTTGTGTGGTGTGTGTCTCTTTGATGCAAAAAAGAAAAATGGTATGTTCAAAGAATTCCGTGCAATTTCCCATTTCTCTAGTTACAGCGAAACAAGAACAGGTAACAGGACATGGATTTTTTTGTGAGCTCACCCTCCTCCCCAGCTGCCCCAAACTTCTGGGCCCACCTTGGCCAAAATCCTAGTAGCTTTCCCTTCAACGATGCATCCCCTCTCCCTGCTTTTCAGAATGAAAAATATAATTATGTATTGCTTCTTTAATCCCTACCAGCTCTTCTCCTTTCTAAAAGTCTTCAAGAAGGTGCATTCCACTATCCAGAAGGCCCCTGCATGCCACCCTCGCTTCTTGCAGTCCTAACGTCCAAGTCTTCTTGTCTCTTTGGTTAAAACAAACCCATACACACACACACACACACAAAAGCAACACACTGCCCAGTATGCTCCTATTTTGGCCTGTGGTGTCTGGCACAAAAGTGTCTTTTCAAGAAGGAAGCATTGGTGATGAGCTGTCTGCTCACTGGAAGTTGGATGTTTCTTATTTCCCCCCCCCCCCATTCCCCTCCTCTCATACAGTTGTTGCTGGCCCATACTGAAACAAGAGCGGAGAAGTCTCTTTGATCCGAACGTAGAACCTCCCGTCGGGCCAAGCCTTTTGGAGCGAGAGGGGAAGGAAGTCATTGGGGAGCCACTGCTCAACTTCCTCGGACACGAACACAAGCCCAAAGTGGCCCAGCTGCTCTTCGCCGTAGCAGAAAGCGTCGGCATCTCCCAGGACATTGCGCGAGATCTCATTGATCTCTTCCACCACCAGCTTCACCACCTCTTCTGCCGTCATCTTGCTGGTGACCCGCAGCTGTGCAAATACAAAGATATGTGAGATAAAGAAGAACGCACAAAATTGGGAGGGGTGGGGGGAAACGCCCGAATAAGCCGCTCCCTCCCCACCCCCCCTTGAGAACATAAATACCTAGCTGAGAAATGTCTTTCCAAAGTTTACGCCAGTGGCAAAGGGATTTCCTGTGATTTCTGAAATTGTTGTCAAGAAGCTAATCTAAGAGCACCCCACTCAAGCCTAATGGAGTCTGGAGCGCTAACCTGGATTCAGTTTAATGGATATGTAGCTTCGTGTACATATAACACATACATATATGTACATATAAGGTAAAAGGTAAAGGTTCCCCTTGCTCGAAAGCCAGCCGAGTCCGACTCTAGGGTTGCGGTGCTCATCTCCGTTTCAAAGCCGAAGAGCCAGCGCTGTCCGAAGACGTTTCCGTGGTCATGTGGCCGGCATGACTAAACACCAAGGCGCACGGAACGCTGTTACCTTCCCACTGAAGTGGTCCCTATTTATCTACTTGCAATTTCTTGCTTTCGAACTGCTAGGTTGGCAGGAGCTGGAACAAGAGACGAGAGCTCACTCCGTCATGCGGCACACTCGGGTCCCGAAGTGCTGAACTACCGACCTTCCACAGCCTGCAGTTCAGCATCTTAACCACTTGAGCCACCGCAGCTCCTTATGTACATATACAAAACTGGAAAAGGTCTTGGTGCAGGCAAGGAGGATGGCACCTTTACTGTGTCTGCTCGGCTGATGTGGCACAAGAGTCTAATCTCCCAAATAAATAAATAAATTTGGGAAAGGAGGAGGACTGGAAGGTGACAACACGCTGGCACCCTTGGAAGATAGCAGGACGTACAAAATAAGGAGGCCTCTCCTTTCCACCCACCCCACCCCACCCCACCCCACAGCAAGGGAAAAAGCAGTGAAGATCTTTCCTGTATTTAAAGGCACACCATTCCTCAAGGACTGGGGTCTCAGAATGAGCTCTCTTAAGGGTTTGGTGAAATATAGGCTGCATGCCAATGGACAATCTGGAAGTCCATGAGAAATCTTGAGAGGAAGACCTAAACTCATCTGAATTCACCAGTCCCACAAGTCTTCCCTTTTTGGGATACTCTCAGGGACTTGAGAATGGCCAACTGGCCCCTCCTTTCCTCCTTCAACGGGGTCTCAGGCATTCTCAACACTGGGAGAATAATGAGCTTGCCCAGGCTCTTGCTTCCATTCCTCTGCAACACTACAGAGATGTTTTCCTTCCTTTCTTCCGTCACCCTGAAGATTAAAAGAAAGCATCCACTTGAGTGTCGATCAGAGGAGGGCAGGCTAGGGCTGGTTTGTTCATCCTCCTCTCTGGATATCAGGGTACCACGGCAGCATACAGCAGCATCCACCCCCATTCTGTGTGCTGTTGGGGTTTTGAGGGCCCCCCCGTCCCCGTCTTGCTGAGGTCAACAGAAATGTCCTTCCTCTTCCTTGGTGCCCCCACTGTCTTGCTTTGGCATTTGATGTAGATCCACCATCTTTACTATTAGAAGAACAAGATGGGGACCTGCATGTGTGGTCAACGTGACCAATAATTTGGAAATCCCGCCTCCCAAAACCTCCCCCTCTAATATTCTAAAGGTAAAGGTTCCCTTGCTCGAAAGCCAGTCGAGTCCGACTCTAGGGCTGCGGTGCTCATCTCCGTTTCCAAGCCGAAGAGCCGGCGCTGTCCGAAGACGTTTCCGTGGTCATGTGGCCGGCATGACTAAACACCAAGGCGCACGGAACGCTGTTACCTTCCCACCGAAGTGGTCCCTATTTATCTACTTGCAATTTCTCACTTTCGAACTGCTAGGTTGGCAGGAGCTGGAACTAGAGACGGGAGCTCACTCTGTCATGCGGCAACTCGGGTCTTGAACCGCTGAACTACCGACCTTCCACAGCCTGCAGTTCAGCGTCTTAACCCCTCGAGCTACTGCAGCTCTAATATTCTAGAGCAGGTCAAAATCCTCCATCACTCTGTTGCCCCCCCAACATAATTTAATAGCTTCCCAACTTTTAGTGCCTCGCATGAACACATGAAACAAACATACTAAAACTTGCAATTTCTCACTTTCGAACTGCTAGGTTGGCAGGAGCTGGAACTAGAGACGGGAGCTCACTCTGTCATGCGGCAACTCGGGTCTTGAACCGCTGAACTACCGACCTTCCACAGCCTGCAGTTCAGCGTCTTAACCCCTCGAGCTACTGCAGCTCTAATATTCTAGAGCAGGTCAAAATCCTCCATCACTCTGTTGCCCCCCCTAACATAATTTAATAGCTTCCCAACTTTTAGTGCCTCGCATGAACACATGAAACAGACATACTGAATCAGACATCAAGGTCAGTATTGTCTACTCTGACTGGTAGCAGCTCTCCAGGGTCTCAGGCAGGGATCTTTCACATTACTTAGTACCTGATCTTTTACCTGGAGATGCTGAGGATTCAACCTGAGACCTTCTGTATGCAAAGGAGGTGCTCTGCTACTGAGGCCAGAGCCCCTCCTGCTGCATACACATAATCAGGCCATTTTGGTCTTTCTTTCCCTTCCTTGTTGATTTACTAAGTCATATATTTCTGCATACCCAGGGATGCAGTATACAAAAACCCATACCTTGGCCTCTGTGTTTTGTTGCTTTGCTTTTGCAATGATCACAAATGCTAAATGTTTCCTATGGATTGAATAAAATACACAGTGATTATGTGTGAGATAAGATTGCCACTTTTTTGGGCTTTAGAGGAAAATCTCCTAATTCACTTGGCCTCCTTGCTGCTTATTCATTTTTGTCTAATTACCCCCAAAGCAGCCTCCATGGAAGGCTGGCAGAGACAGAACATGCAACTATAGTTTAGGGATTATATCTCCCTTCTGCTCCCAGAGAAAACTCCCCCCTCCCAATCCCTTTCTGTTCTAGTGTGGCATTATGCAAGATATTTGCTAACCCTGATTAAGGAGCTCCCGACTCCTACTTCAGAATCCTGGTTCTGAAAGAGGATCCTATGGCCCACTTCCAGTTCCCTAAACCACAGCTGATATGCTGTATCTGCACTGACCTTGGCCTGCCATAATTCTTTATATCCATCATCAATTCCTCTGTTAAGGGAACACAGCTCTTCACTCTCCTGTTCTGGGCCACAAAAGGACATAACAGAGAGAATGCCCCTGTGTCCTGCAAGGAGAATGGAGAGAAGAAAGGAGACCGATTTGTGAGGCCGAGGCACCCTTCGGAATGGGAATCTTCACAGAGCTCCTTGCTCCCGTGACTGGGAACACCGTCAGAATGAATTTTTCCTAGCTGTCAACATGAAGTTCCCCGGTACGGTGATCTGAACCAATAAGTTTGCTCACAGAATGTGGAGTTAAATGTTATTTTCTTCCTTTTGCCATTTCAACTACTTCCTGGTGCACTGTATTCCTGCATCCCGAGGGCCAGTTGTGAGGCCGAGGTAAGTGTGTGGACTCTAATCTGGGAGAACCGGGTTTGATTCCCCACTCCTCCACTTGCACCTGCTGATGGGACCTTGGGTCAGTCACAAGCTCTGGCACAGCTGTCCTTGAAAAAGAGCAGTTTGTGTCAGAGCTCTCTCAGCCCCACCCACCTCACAGGGTGTCTGTTGTGGGGAGGGGAAGGGAAAGGAGTTTGTAAGCCGCTCTGGGACTCCAAGTGAAGGGTGGGGTATAAATCCAATCTCCTCCTCCTCCTCCTCTTCTTCTTCTTCTTCTTCTTCTATTATGCCACTCTCTGATCCAGGGCAGGGATCTCTTCCCCCAAGTTTAGCCTGGATGAAAATCTGGCTCTCCTGGTACATCCTGGCAGCCTCTTTAACAGCAAAATAACCAATACTGAGGGAGGCTTGTCCCAAAATCTGCAGCACCCTAAAACACGTTCAGATATTATTGGGAGACTCAAGGACTGAAGTCAACCCATTATGGAAATGTTTCCTCCAACAGGAAACAAGTGCTAAGAGAGTATTCTGTTTAGGATCTGCTCACTCGAAATTGACTCCATTTAGTTTTATTTTTAAAATGGGATGGATGTGCTTCCAAAGGGAACCTGTTGCTTCATTCTGTGCTTGTCATCCATCTTCACTCACTAGTCGTGTTGCAAGCAGGGAGGATTTGGAAGAAGCATGGGCTATATGTCATGCTGACAGCAAGTGTCATGGCTTGTATCTCTACTAAGAAGATGCAGGTTTTTAAAAATGCGAGTGAGGGAGAAAGGATACATGGATCTGCTGGTTGGATGCACCTTTGGATCATGTGGAATGAAAGTATCATTACCAGTTCTGGGTATCAGCCCCCAAAAGCCACAATAGTGGAAATGCCCACGAGTAAACAAAAACCAGTTTGCGGAAACCCCATGGAAGAGGGAAAGGGGAGAGTCATATGCTCAGACCTGGGGGAAGGCAGCTGGGGGAAGGCCTCCTACAAGCCCTGCCTTCACCCTTCTCAGGACTGCACTACACCAGATTACACTGGACCAGGATTTCAGCAATACCTTAATGTTTGTCTCTTTGGAGAGCCCCGTTTCATACTGTGGGCACACGCATAACGCAGTGGATCCTGGCAACTTGCCCCGGTTTGCTACATGCCCTGGCTCAGGCACCTCTTGGAAGGTATGAGTCCACTCAACGGAGCGTGTCCGGAAGACAGGCTCGGAGCTCTCTGAGGGCCAGCTGTGCTTGGGGCTGAAGGCCAAGCCTGTCCCAAACCTTACAGGGCTGCATCGGCCCGCAGTCCTGCTTTCTGTCGGGGAGCTGTCGACTGAACCGGGGCAGGACTTCCGGGCCCCGTGGCAAAGGGGCTTAGGGAAATCCAGGCTGCTGGTGCGAACACAATAAGCTTGCCGTTTCTCTGTGATGCGCAACAGTTCTATCTGCCGGCTGGGGAGCACAAAGTCACTATCGTAGAGCTCGGGGGGTGGCCGAGGCTCCTCCGTAAGGATTGCGGCTGTCTTCAGCTCATGACTCTGTAGGACATCGGGGGCACTGTCCCTCAGAGGGCGGGGATTTCTTCTGCTGCAGCAGTCAGGCCCCGAAGAGGAGTAAACAAGATCCAGCTCCCTGGGGCTTTGAGCCCTGCTGGAGTCGTAGTCGCTGTCCGTAGCCAAAAATACCTCCGATGAACCCTCTTCATCGGACATCCCATGTGAATCTGCAGGAAGATGATTATTAAAAAGTTACTTAGTTACTAGGGATGGTCTTGGCAAGAGAAAAGACTTGAGATGGGACAGGAACGATAGCAACAGCGAGTGAAACCTGCAGCAGGACAAACCCACTAAGCCTACTTTGCCCAGGAACTTTGACTGGCTCACTGCCCCACATTAAAGAAATGGGCTCAAAACGACTGCTGCCCAGAAATCAGAAACTTTATGCACAGTGGGCTTTAAAGCTTTTCACAGGACACCTTTACTCCTGGCAAATCTCCTGGGCCCATGTCTCTCCAGTGCCTGTCTTCAACTGTATAGGCCTTCAGTGTGTGTTTATCCTACACAAATCTGCTGCACCAGGTTCTTGTAAACATCATTTCTGGAGAAGAAAGTGTACAAAGGAGATTTATGGTCTCTGTGTGTGATATTCTTAACAAGCATCTGCCAAGAGGTATCTGAGATAATTTTAAAGATTACAACGTATCAAATCCCAACAGATTCTCAAGCTGCGCTGTCAGGATATCTGGGAGGCCTCATTAAGGTTAATGATATAGGTTTTCTTATTAAAATGTTGGTAAGTGGCAAAGACAACTTAATCTAGATAATGAATACTGCGACGGCACCTACAGCTTTACATAAAATGGTTGAGAAAATATGGGATATTCCCTTCATGGGGTGGAGGGGGGGGACCCCGAACAACCGACGTTGATAACAGTCAAGGGAAGAAATGGCTTAGTTGGAGGACGATTTCAAAGTGGCTACACTAATATTATTGAATTACTGCCATGAGGACATTGGAATCAGCCACGTGGCAACTTTTTAATTGTATGGTCAGAAAAAAAAAATAATTTCACTGATGTATTGCATCTAGAAGGGTTCATGGGGTGTTGTCCAACTCAACTTCCCCACCCCACCCCCCCTCTCCCCGCATGCTGCTAGCCTCCCTCGCTTCCCCCCCCCCAGCCATTCCAGAAGGACTCTTTGCCAGGCCTGACTGACTGAAGGTCCTCAGACCGACTGACGGTGGCCCCACAGGGGTATTCACAGCCTTTGTGGCTCAATTCCCCTTCCTTGCGGGGATAACTGCGGGCCACAAAGGTCCATCAACAGTGGGGGTGGGAGAATGTCTGTATTACTTATGTCTGGTGCTGCCTCTCCTCCCCCAAGAAGTGCATGAGCGGAGCTGGATTTTCCACAGCCCGCCAGCCAAGGCTCACTGCCCCCTTGCATCTGAGATTCAGGGCTGATTCAAGGCAGAAGATTATTATTTTTTTTTACGTGTACATCTAGTAGCGTGACGGATGGAGATGGGCTGTTCCCGGCTCTTTTTGTAGCAGGAACTCCTTTGCATATTAGGCCACACCCCACCCCATGTAGCCAATCCTCCAAGAGCTCCTCCAAGAGCTTACAGTAGCTCCTGTAAGAAGAGCTCTGTAAGCTCTTGGAGGATTGGCTACATTAGGGGTGTGTCGCTTAATATGCAAATGAGTACCTGCTACAAAAAGAGCCCGTTTGGAAGCAGAAGTTTCATAGCAGCACGTTCTCCAGAGACAGGGCTTCAATCACCGGATCGGGGGGGGTGGGGGTAGGGGAATCCCAGCCCTCCTCCTGTTAAAATGGGCTTTGGGGGCTCTGGCTGTTCAAAGGCTCCCCATGGCTCCCCTGCCCGAATCCCTCCACCGTGTTCCTCTGTGCGTCTGCGCTTGGCTGAGGAGCACGCCAGTCTGATCTCCAGCTCTGCACGGCTTCACCGACTCTCTCCAGATCCACCCACGTTATGACCGCAGGTAGGATCTCTCCTTAGCTGGCTGGCTGCCTGCCAGGCCCTCTTCCCCCGGGCACTTGTTTTGGTCCCTCCTGTCAATCAGAGTCTCTTGCCACACCTCAAAAGTCCCAGCTGCCTGACAGTCTACTCCATACACTGGCTAAGGGAACTTTCCAGTCAAGTGGAAAATGCCTTGCTAATTGCTTTAATACTTCCCTTATACTTGGCAAAGCATCAGGATCCAAAAGGAACCTTGCTGGCTCCAGGAGGAACAGGGCACATTCAGGAACTCTTTCAGCAGGTGAAGGGGTGGGGGGGTGGGACTCCAACTCAAACAGGCATCAGGAAGACTGGATTCAGTCTGTACTTGGAGCACTGCGCCAGAGGGAGCACTGAGCCAGAGTTCCAGGGGTGGCTTAACAGTGTTCCCTCTAAGCTGAGTTAGTGTGAGCTAGCTCACAGTTTTTGAGCCTCTGGCTCACGCATTTTTGTCTTGGCTCAGGAAGGAGGGCTCCAGAGCAAACTAGTTTATCCAGCAGCGAAATCTCTTGCTCACAACTTTAATGCCAGTAGCTCACAAAGTAGAATTTTTGCTCACAAGACCCCACAGCTTAGAGGGAACCCCCTACCAAATAGACTCAGGATCAGACAAGAATACATACTGGATCAGACCCCTCTTGTCTCTTAAAGTGTTTATTAACAGCTTCAGGGGTGGAAGGGGGTGCTGACTTGAATTGGGACTGCAGTGCTAGAGGAGAGACACGTGACCGCTTTTCTTACGCCAGCTTCCCCGCCCAGCTGCTATTTGTCCCAACAGTGCGTGTCTTCCCCTCCTCCAGTACGACGGTCCAGGCCCAATTTGCACACACATCTCCTGCGACTGCTATTAACATTCAGATATGGAAGTTCTGATTCTTGTTCTCCAACTGCTCACTTAGTTTAGGCAACAGTTGCAAAACCCGTGTTTTCTGCCAAGTAAAATGCGAAAAAGTGTGTGAATGGAAGCAAATCTTTGTGGACCATTGCTGAGGTCAGTGAAGAGTAGCAGAGATCAGGAGATTTGGGGGGGGCAGAAACAGAGCATGAGGAGTGACAAGGAAGAAAAGAGGAGTTGGGGGTGCATAAAAGAGGGTCTACAGAGTATGCTCCAAAGGAATCACGATGACAAGCAGGGCATAAATGCATTTCCACTTGTGATGGAGTAGCGTGGCCATTCTGAATGAACAAAAATGGGGCCAAGAGAGCAGCTACTGTGCTTGTTTGGGGGAGAAGGGAGGCCTGCCTCAGAGCAGAGTTGGTGCAGAGGCCCCGGCTGCTAGTATCCCTCACCCGAGTTGAGCTTGCGACTTGTTTCAGGAGATGGGGTAGGCGAGGGAAAAAAGTCCAAGTGAGAAGAGGTCGACTGAGTTTTCTCCTTCAATGCAGTGCTAGATTCCTCGAGGAAGCACACGAGCGAGATGCCACCAGACGGCTGCTTGTACCGGGCGTGCTGCAGGGCATCCATCATCCAACGCATTTCCCGCCAGATCTCTTCCATTTGCTGTTTGACACAAAGAAACAGAATGCGCATACTTTATTTAACCGGCAGGCCCGTAAGCCAGGATTTTGTGGCTTGTGGGGCTGAAATTCTCAGTGCAGAAAGAAAAGCCATTTAACCAATAGAAAGGTGTTACCAGGATAGATCTCTAAATTGCAAGCTAACAACCACTTTAGATGACAGTTTTCAGCTGCTGCAAGTTAATCTCTTCTGCCAGCCCGAGCAACAACTCTGATAACAAGCTGGCAGGTAGGGGTGATGACTTCTATAGTCAAGACAGCTAACACGTAGGCAGAAAAACTCTCTTAAAGGAGGCCAGTTTCTTGACACAGAGTTAGAAGGGATCATAGAGGTCACCTACTCCAGCCCCATTGCTCAGTGCAGGAATTAGGCAACTACAGCACCCCACTCTGCTTAAAGGAACACACACCTTTTAAAAATGTTTTAAAATTAGAGAAAAAAGCATTTACAGGAGATATTATTGTGGGGCTGTGCCTTTAAGAAAGGGGGTAGAGCCCCCCAAAGCCCCAATGTAGTTACAGGCCTATTAACTGGAGCGGGGGGGAGGGGAGGAGAAAGGAACAGAGAAAGTATAAAACAGCCTTCTCTCCCACTGCCTCTCCTAAAGCTTTGAGGCCCACTTACACAGTCACAGCCCACAGTCTGAGATCCACTGGAATGAGCAAATCACGCCTTACTCTAGCACACCATCCTGCACATTTCACAGGATCAAAGAATACAACAAACTGCCTTAGAATGAGTCTGACCATTTTTCTGTTAAGGGCAGTCTTGTCTATTCTGATTGGCAGTGGCTCTATGTAGTCTCAGGTAACAGTGTGCATTTGGTATTTACTGAGCCGAATAAATACCTGAATAATGCCTTTAAGGGAAACCTTTACCTATTATGGCCCTATAGGGTAAAACAGAGCCGAATATATTTGGTATTTCCAAATATTTACCGAATCCAAATACAATGCCGATACTGGTATTCGGGAATATTCAGCAATGCCGAATACATTTGGCTTTTTTATTCCCAAATCTGAAAAAAAAAACTGATTTTTTTCCCCCGTTGCACACCCCTAGTCTCAGGTGGCAGTCTCTCACTATTTATTTATTTAGTTATAGATTCAATTTATACCCCGCCTTTCCTGCTACGTGGGCTCAGGGCGGCTTACACAGAGGCACAAGCCAATATAAAACATAGTTAAAACCATTTAAAATATCAACAATACAATAACATTATTATTAATAAAGTGCTCTAGTTGTTCTCACATGATATTCCCCAAAATGGCAGATTACAACTGCTCTGCCAGTTCAGCGACATCTGTTCCGGAGACGCTGATGTTCCTTATTCCAGGGCCAGACCTGAGCATGGTATTCCTGAATATACCTGAATACCAATACTGGTAATGTATGGGTATCTGAAAATATTCGGGAATACCGAAAAAATTCACCTCCATTATATCCTATGGGGTCATTGTAGTCAATGGCAAAAACTTCTAAGGGAGTATTCAGTGGGCTGGGGAGGGGGGATTTGAGGTGGAGGCACCAAATTTGTACTGTAGCTGCTGAAGCCTCTCACCAGAAGAGTCCCCAATTTTGGAAAAGTTTGGATCAGGGGGTCCAATTCTAGGGTAATCCAAAGAGGGTGCCCCTATCCTCCATTGTTTACAAAGGCAGGCAGATAAAACAACAGCCCAGCAGTTTCACCCAGAGAATCTCTGCAGTAGAAACTAAGTGAGGTGTGGTATGAGGGGGCATGTTTGCAATGTCAGCAGCAGTGCAAAAACCCAACAGGACGAAGTTCAAATCAGAGAATCTCTGCAGTATATGTGGTATGTTTGCAAGGCTAGCAGCAGAACCAGTGCAGTGTATCTAGTGCTAGTGCCCAGCAGCAAAACCCAGTACTATTGTGGCAAATGCCAGCTCAACAGGAGGACTGATGTCAACTTAAGTGTTCTTAATATACCAATAAAAATAATTTAAAAAACAAAACAAAAACAGAAGTGATATGTTGGAAGGAAAGAAGCCTGCTAAAACTGGCTGACCCACTGCAGACGATGAGCCTATAGCAAGCGGGTTCCCCCTCCTTTCCAGGTGGTATCCCCCGGTGAAGGAGGTGCTGATGGAATGGTAATGGAACCAGTCTCCCGCTCTGCCACCCTCTGCCCTGTCTATACCAGCAGTTCAGTGACACCAATCACATTTTTATTACAAAGCCAAGGCAAAGATGCTCCCGAAGGGACGTGCCACCAAAAGCGGAGGTAATCTTTACAATGGGTTTGCAAACCTTGCCATTTTCAACATTGCCCACGGAGGGAAGAGCAAAGGGCGAGGGGAAGGCCATATCGGTTTTATACAGCAAACAGGCAGCAGATCTGTCCGAAGCAGCAAAAAGCCAGCAGCGCCTGGATGGCACCTCCAGGACTGACGGATTCATGTTGGTAATGCTCCATCAAACACACAGAACACGAAGGAGGTCGATGTGCAACGGAAAACCAAGAGGAAAAGGCGGACATCAAGGCTAACAGAAGACTGTCATTAATGTATCGTGAAAGCACTGTTAAAAACCAGTGTGGCGCAGTGGTTAGAGAGTCAGACTAGGGTCTAGGAGACCCTGATTTGAATTCCAGGGAAACTTGCTGGGTGACTGTGGACCAAGAGGCTGATGGTCCGGAAGACACCAGAGAGGCCCAAGTGAAGCCTTCAGCCACCGCCCAGCCTGGAAACCTGCATGGCTGAAAGGCAGCGAACTCCACAGGCAGCACACAGGATGCAGGATGTGGCTCGAGACAGGGGAGCTGCCCGTGCTCAAGCCGCAACCTGAGTGAAGGAAACGACAGGCAGCCTCACTGTGTGTACGGACGAAGGCTTCTGCATGGATGTCTCTGCCTGGCATTGAGTCTGTGACATCACAGGGGGTGCCTTCAGTGGTCCTCCTTTCACCGGGAAGGGCTACGGGGACCCTGGCCCAGTCACACACACTCAGCTCAACCTACCATATTTTTTGGACCATAAGACTCACTTTTTCTTCCCAAAAAAAGTGGGAGGAAAAGTGAGTGTGTCTTATGGACCGAAGGTTCAGAATATTTTTTCCCCTGTTTTCCTCCTTTAAAAACTAGGTGCGTCTTAAGGTCAGGTGCGTCTTATGGTCCGAAAAATACGGTACCTAATAGGGCTGTGCAGATAAAATGAAGACAGCCATGCCAACGGCATTGGGTCCCCAGTGGGAAGAAAGGCAGGGTATACATGAAGTGTGTTGGAATACACAACAGGTTCCAGGGACTCAGCAGTGGGAGAGTTTTCCGTTACGTATACCTATCATTGCCACTTTCTCAGCCATGGTAAAATATATACATTGAACTTAGCCAGAGAGTTTGGATCTGGATGCTTATTGGGTATCTTTTCCCTCCTGATTTTGCTTTATAAGACATTAGCTCTCTTTCTTCCTGGAGAGAGTCATCCCCCAGGAGATAAAATACATCATGCCCCATCTAAACTCTAGCAGGCCATCTCCTTCAGAGAGCCAGTTTGGTGTAGTGGTTAGCAGCACGGACTCTAAACTGGGAGAACCGGCTTTGATTCCCCACTCCTCCGCATGCAGCTGCTGGTGTGACCTGGGGTCAGTTATAAGTCCTTTCAGAGCTGTTCTCTCACAGACAGTTCTCTCAGAGCTCTCTCAGCCCCACCTACCTCACAGGCAATGTTCCCTCTAAGCACTGGAGTCTTGTGAGCAAAAATACTGTGAGCTAGCTCACACTAACTCAGCTTAGAGGGAACACTGCTCACAGGGTGTCTGTTGTGGGGAGGGGAAGGGAAAGGGACTGTAAGCCACTTTGAGACTCCTTTGAGTAGTGAAGGGCGGGGTAGAAATCCAATCTCCTCTTCTTCTTCCTCACCATTTCCGGCCCTTTCAAGAAACTTAAGTGGTAAGGGGGGGGGGGGAAGTGTCCAATGCAGTGTTCCCTCTAAGCTGAGTTAGTGTGAGCCAGCTCACAGGTTTTTAGCCTCCGGCTCACAGGTTTTTGCCTCAGCTCAGGAAAGATGACTCCAGAGCAAACTGATTCACGCCGCAGCCAAATCTGCTCGTTCACCACTTTAATGCCAGATGCTCACAAAGTAGAATTTTTGCTCACAAGGCTCCACAGCTTAGAGGGAACACTGGTCCCATGTGGAGAAATCGGAAGTGGACGATGATGAATGACGTCTACGTGCCTCCACTGGCCCCACGGCAGTCATGCTTTTTTGTCATTGACATTTTATTGGTAGAATTAAAACAATAAACCAAATATAACAATAAAAATGTACATAAAGGTCATAAGAACAGTTAAAACATTCAAACCAATACACTAATTACAAAAAAGATAAAAAATAAAAATGTAAGCTTTAAAGAGTGATACATTCTTCAATAAACCTTTGAACAAAGTAACTTGTTTTAGCCTCAACTTGTAATTGATGCCTGTACTGTTTGTTGCTTTAGATACAACCAAGTGTCTTTTGCCATCACACACACACACCCAGATGCCCGTACAGCCTGGGATTCTCCGGGAGCGCAACCCAGTGCGGAGTGACTCCAGAGGAATCAAAGTGGGCTGCATAGGGCACCTCTGACTGCAGCTCGGCTCAAGTCCCGTCCAGCGGGTCATCCCATAGTCTTGCTTACCCAGCTCAAAGATCTGAAGAGGGAGTGTGAAGAAGCCAGACCGGGGAGTGTAAGGGTTGTTCTGACCAGGAGCAGTGCACACGTCGTCTGAGGGAGGCAGCAGCAAGAGAAAGGAGACCTCTCCTCCAAAGTCCAGAACTTCCTGACTGTACAGACGGAAATCCTTGGCCTACAGGAGTCAAACACGACAAGACATTGCATTTGTTGATGTAGGGGGTGTGGCATTCTAGGCAACCTTACGTCTTCATGACAGCAGCCGCCTGAACATGGATCGGTGGTCTCCTCCCTATCGGCCAAGAGTGGAGGCAGACAACCACTTGATCCGTCTGTGTTGCAAAATTTGCATTTGCTATTACGGTGGGCAGGAGACTGATATGACAGGGTCCAAAAAGCATCATGCACTTCAGTCATTCATTCTTGGGATGAGTTGGCAAGATCTAGGCTGTCCGACAAGTGCTGGAAATGGATCATACACTGGACTCTCCCAAGCAACCAAGTTCCACTGAATTTTCACCCATGTGGCAATGGTCAAAGCTAGCACTTAGAAGGGGGTGCCACCCTTTCTGTAACCTTTTAGATATGGCTTCCTTCTACGGAATCCAACTGCTTTGGAGACATTTTTCAGACCTCTTTGTAAGTTGCATAGAAACCCTATTACTGGGCACTAGCAAAGTAAAATAGAACACAAAGGCGGCTTGCCCTATTTAGGAAGCAAAGATACAGTCCAGGGGATTTGGCATGAGCTCAGTGTCCGACTGTTGTGCCCCTCTCTCCTCCTCATCTGCTGGGATGGAATGGAAACCAAGCTCTACATCTTTGCGGGCATCACTCACTGCATCCTGCCAAGGAAGCTAAGGATACAAAACCCTTTGGATCACCTCTGAGGTGTATATCTTGCCGGTCTCTATCTCTCCTTGCATGTGACCTGCTTCCATCTGTCGTGCAAAGTTTCACTGTGGAGCTGTGGCAGAGAGCAGAGTCTGTACCAGAACTGGTGGCGTTCCAGCAGAGGGCTTACCCTGAGCCTGAGCCACATTGCCTGTGTTTAGAGGAGCAGTTACAGCATAGTCAGATGAGACAGGAGGAGGCTGTGACTGAATCTTCGGGAGGGCTTACCCTGAGCCTGAGCCACATTGCCTGTGTTTAGAGGAGCAGTTACAGCATAGTCAGATGAGACAGGAGGAGGCTGTGACTGAATCTTCGGGGGGCCCCCAACTACGGTGTGTGGGGGGTGGGGATTTGGAGCTGGGATGCATCAAGGGATGTGGCATTAGCCTTCCCTTTGCCTTCCACATGATACACAGCAGTGCCCCTCTTCTAAACTGCTATTTTCCCTGTGGGGGAAACATACTGTAAGTTTACCTGCATGTTTTACCCCACAAGCACTGTTCCCTCTAAGCTGAGTTAGTGTGAGCTAGCTCACAGTTTTTTTAAGCCTCCGGCTCACACATTTTTGCCTTCGCTCAGGAAGGA